ATTATAGGCATGCATCACCATGCCCAGTTTCAGTGGCCGGCACGACGCACCCAGGGTTCCGGGGCCAGCACAGCACGTGGTACCAGGCCTCAGGCCCAGGTCCCTGTGCTTGCCAGGCAGGCATTTAGGCCATGATGCTATCTTCCCAGCCTGATTTTCCTTTTTACAGCAGTACTGGGGATAGAATCTAGGCCATCCACTAAGTAAGTTACAGCCCCATTCCTATATCTCCTTTAACAAAAAAATTGCATCTTGCTAAGTTGCCCAGGCTGGACTTCAACTTGGGGCTCTCCTGCCTCAGCCCCTCTGGATGCTGGGGTTACACACAAATGCCAGCATGCCTGGCTTCTGAGTGAACTTTTCAGGTAAGTTTCAAGGTAGCAGGTTTAGCAATGAAGGTGCCATCACCAGCTCACACTTCCACAGCTTCTGTATGTCTTGGGGTATTTTAAGATGGTGCAAGCATTTCACCCATGCAGGGCCATATGTTGTTTTTTGTTTGTTTGTTTGTTTCTTTGTTTTGAGACAAGGTCTTATTACGCAGTTCAGGCTGGCCTTGAAATGTGCAGTCCAGGCTGGCCTTGAACACATGCAGATTCTCCTGCCTCATCCTCCGTAGGGTTGCGCATATGCCCAGCTACTAAAGAGCACCCTACCCTGCCTACCAACTGAGAATGTCCGCTGTCTGGACGCCAGCATGTCCTGAGTGCATTCCTAAGACACCCTTGACCCTGAGGTCCCTCATCCTGCTTTCTGGAGTTCTAGAATGAGGTCCGACAGTAGTGCCAGGAGCACTCCCCTCGTCCACACTTTCTGCCCACCCTTCCCTCTGACTTCCATTCTCTCACCACTTGGTGCCACGGGTGGCCCTGGCACAGGCCCTTTGCTGCTGCTGCCCTGGCATCATTTACCGTCATCTGTCTTCACTCCGGGGAGTGCCCACTCACTGGCCAAACACCTTATCTTGGCTGTCACTCTCCTTCCCTGAGGGCAAGAGACATATGAGGCCAGCCCTCCAGGGGCTGGAAGTGGCCCCTCAGTGCTTGTCCCGAGACCTGAGAGCACGAGGACCTCCCCTCAGACTTTTCTGTGATTGTGAGGCACCAGTAGCCTACATGGTCTCCTGAGCACTGGGGCACCAGCCTCAGCGAGGTGTCCAGAAAGCAATCTAAGGCTGTTGAGGGGCCGCATGGGACCAACCCTCATTTTCTCTTGTCCCTACCCACACTGGAGGGGCTCTGAGTCCCCTGTGCCCTCCCCAGGTCCTTGCAAATTTCTGGCCGTCAATGTGCGCATAAGCCCCCTCAGTCTTTTCTGGGTGAGAAGGGAAGGAAATAAAAAGCAACACACTGAGCAAAAACAGGGGCGCTCTCTGGTAGCACCTAGGGCTGCCCTGTTTGCCAACCAGTGTTACCAAACATGGCAGAAGGAAGGTAGATGACTGGACTGGCCACACGGGGCCGCCCTATGCCTATGGGTGGCCCCACACTGATGGGAAGGGCAGCAGCGTGCGGGCCACCTCAGAGGCTGGACCCACAGCTGTCACCCAGGCCACCCCATGTGCACCAGCATTGCCTCATTTTGCAAATGAGGATGTGGTTCAGAATTCTGCAGACATGCCCGGGGTACAAGGAATTCCTACTTGCACTTGCACGCAGTTCATACGTCAGTGCATGGTTCCTCCTGAAAAGGATTCTAGTGGAATGTTTACCAAGGACAGGAAGTCCCTCTTTTAGACAAGGAGCAGAGCACCTCTCCTAACAAGAAGGTGACCTTCTAACCTGTGGTGATCCGTCCTCGCTGGCCTGGCCCTAGGGTCCAGGTCTGCTGTTCATCCAGAGCCTGTTGGAATAGTTTGTCTCAGGAAAGGCATTGATATGCTGGGAACAGCATGCTGGTCATGAGGAACAAGGACCGGGGCTTGGGCTTGGGACGCACTTCCCCTCCTGGGCCGCGCTGCTTTCCAGGCATGGGATTCCTTCTGGTTTTTTTTTTTTTCAGGTACTTCATTTATTCTAGATTTTCCATATTACTTACATCACAAAGCAAGGATAAGTGAATAAGGTAGAAAAATGAAAAGGCAAGGCAGTATGAAATGGAAATATTGTGCTGGATGGGCCATCAGGATGCAGGGGTTGAACGGGCAGCAAGAGCTACACGGGAGGTGATACTCCTCTGTGGCAGACCACTGTGCCCTTAGCCCTGCTCAGCGCTCTGCCTCCACTCAGCACACTGCCATGCCTGCTTTGTACCAGCCTGGCTCCTAATCACACGTCTTGAACTTACAAGACGCATTTCTAAAGTGGGAAGTGATGTTTGCTGGGTCCTGTCGGTCGAAGCTCCAGCACTTCCTCATCCCACTACTACTGGGTTTCTCTGAATTGCAGCTGAAACCGGATGCAGTATTTGCACAAGCAGCCACAGAGATGTGGTAAATCCAGCCCTCCAGTCGTCATTTCCTGGGGGCTTGGAGACCAGGCAGAGTGCCAGGCCCCTAGCCAACTCCTCCCAGCTGGTCTCTGCCAAGGAAGCAGGTGTCTCTGCCGTGGCTGTGGGAGACGGTGGGCCCTCAGTCACCCTTGATCTGGGCCCAGATGCCCTGAAACACCAAACTTTCCTGGGGTCCCTGAAGCAAATGTTCCTTAAGAGCCCAGGGTCAGGTGGTCTTGGAGTCAGAAGGCAGGCTTTAGGGGAAGAGGCATGCAGTGTGGGGGTAGGGGACAGCCAGTGTGGAAGGAAGAGGCTGTGCGGGAGTCCACCCCCACCAGAGGAGGATCCAGGAAGAAGCTCGTGGTTCACTTGTCCTCAGATCTGTAAAGACCCCAGGAGGACCTCAGCTATGCAGCCCCCCCAACCACCACTTGTTCCCACACTGGCAGCCCCAGCCAGCCTCCAGGTGGCTCTTCCCCCACCAGCCTCACAGACGCCATCCTCTACTCAGAGCAGGTGTTCTAGGTAGGGCTCAAGGAGGGACAGGGAACCCGCTTTGCCCATGGGGCTCTAACCCCACAAGCCCGGAGTGCTGTGTGAAGCCCCCCAGACACAGGCGTTGCTGGTTCTCCAAAGAGAACACAGAATACTACCTCAGAAAGGGAGGCCAAGTGATGTCCTCGCATCCAAGAACAGAGAACCCTATAGCTGTGAGCCCCAAGGTTGCAATTCTTAGTCATCATAACCCAAGGAAAGGCTAGGTGGGGGTGGGGAGGAGCAGCCCTCAGCACACACCCTGTCAGGACGGGCTCACAAGGTGTACTGATCTGACTCAGCATCTTGTAGGGGGTGACTACAAACAGATGCCGCCATGGGGCTGCAGCGTCCTGGTTCCTATTCTGGCATGGCCAAGTGGCTTCTCCAGGCCACTGGAGGGGTAGATGTCCTCGCGTTAAGTGCTCGGTGGACTCCAGCCTCGGAACCAGGAAATACAGCTCCGTCTGGGCTGCTCTACACTCAGTAAGCTGTATTGGCCAACCTTTTAGAGCTTTCAGCAATGCATGCAGCCTGCTGTGGCGGACGTGCCATGGTTTTGCCGCCACTGCCCCAGTGCCTTGGTCAACTCCGGGGACAGGCTCCAGCTGCAGAGGCACTCCCAGGAGGTGGTTGTAGATGGGCAAGCCAGGGCCTGCATTTAGGGCATAGCCACCTTGTTTCTGGGGACCAGAGACCCGAGATCCGCTTGTGTCACTCTCTCCTTGGCATGGCATTTGCACCCAGTAGGAGGTGGGTTGCTACCAGGCCCAACCCACACGGTCCAGAAGGTAGGAGCTGGACCAATGAGAAGCACATCTTCCTGCACCAAGAGCCATGACCCACTGGCACACTTGGCCATGCCCCCGCCTCGACCATCCTCAAGGCCACCACCACAGCCCCCTCCACTGGCCAGCACACATGCATCCCACACATGTGCACAATATAGCACTACATGGGTGCACAGTGCCACATACACAATCATGTATCTGTAGCCATACAGTGTCACATACAGTATCACATGGATAGCCATAGTGTCACACATAGGCGCACAGTGCCACATGTAAATGAAAACACACAAGCACACAACAGCCTCTGCTTCCTTCCAAGCCTGTTTGTGCCAGGGGTCAGTCTTTCTGCCTCTGTAAGGATCCAAGCACCTCACACAGATGAATTTGTATGTGACACATACATGAGGAGTTTGTGCATGCGTACACACGTGTGGGCATGCTGGGAATCCCTGAAGCACAACAGCTGGCCCGCTGCTATCACCACCCTAGGGAGAGGGAGGAGGGCCGGATCATCCATAGCTCCCAGGCTTAGCCTGGGGAGGGCAGCTGGCCATGATGCGAATCTGCCTGGGCCTGTGATTTGACTTCCTTGGCCAGGCCCTTCCCAGGTATTTCCTGTCTCATAGCAGTGGATGTGACCGAGTAAGAGACCCCAGCTTGAAAGGATCTCTGCAGTGTTTTAGCAGATTGTCCTGTCCCTGACACTGGAACCCACTGGTGCCAGGTGCAAGGAGCTGTCCCTCTGACTGACCACCTTGGCTGGGACTCTGAAAGGCTCCAAACAAGGCACAAGGCCACCTCAGCCAGCTTCCCAGAGGTGACAGAGCTAGTCACCAGGACACCACCTTCCTGACTCCTCTGAGGTGACTCACACTGTGGACGGCAGGAGACGTACAATGCGTCTTCTGACTCAGGGAGGAAGTGGGCTCACTGACCCTCTGGAGGAAGCTCTGAAATCTAGATACAAGTCTGTGGCTTCTGACGCTACTTCCTGAGACCCTGCAGGGACTCAGCCCGGGAGCACACAGCAAAGCGGACCCCACAGGGGAGGGCAGCTGAGATGAGGCAGGTGTGTGAGTGTGGGGCTCAGTTCATCCTACCAGGATCTGCCCCAATGGCACATGTGGATGTGCAAAGCAACATGGATGAGTGCAGAAGCCAGCAGGCCACAGCCCTAGAGCCCACCCCAGCGATGGGAGCCTTCTGTCCACATCCACGCTCCCGAGCTGAGAGGGCCCGTCGTGCACACAAGAAGACAGCAGCCAGGTTCCAGGCCCAAGGGGAATCAGGCTTGCAGCAGCCAGCTAAGCCCAGGCCCAGCTGTGCCTCAATTTTGCCCCCAAACCTCCAGGGCAAGCTGGTGACTGTGAGGTAGGGCGGGACACCCTGCTGGTCCTTCTCTGCCCTCACATCCTTTCAGCAGAGCAGCTCAGCACGCACAGGCAGACATAACTCGCCTGTGGCTTGTGTCAGGGGCATCTTCTTCAGATTCTAGGGTGGCTGTCATTCCAGAGCCACATGGATAACCACAGTGGACCAGCCTACACTAAATAGTGTGGCCCCAAGTCCCAGGACTGCACACACTGAGGCCTCAAGTGCTCACAAATGTAGCCGATGACCCATCCAGGGTGGGAGAAACATTCAATCTCTATTTAAACTGATTTCCATGGTAGCATGACTCTGCAGTAACAGTCAGCAGGAACTTCTGTGACAAGTACCTCCAGAGCACCCCAACCACCACTGTGCTCCCACTAAACCTCTGGACAGGATAGTGCAGGATGGTGTGGAAGAAGCCCTGGCTGGTGGAGGCTCCAGGCAGGTTCAAGATTGGGGTTTGGCTGACTCAAGGTGGGCACCCCCTAGGGGCCCCTGGCCCTCCTCAGGCCCAGGTCTCATCAGCTCCTCAATCCACCGGTCCTTCAGCTGTACCAGGTTCTCCAGCCTCACCACCTTCATCTGCAAAACCTTCAAAAGAACATACAGGCTTGAAGAACTTCTGCTCAGCAGACCAAGCAAGAGGTGCCTGTGAGCATGCAGGCAGTGTGTCGCTGTCCCTGCATCTATGGCCCACATACATGCCCATATCCTGACCACTTCCCTGGGGCCCCTCACGCAGTGCCAAATGAGAAAGGGCAGGTGGCTGAAGCCATGCAGGGAATGCCCTCCCCACTGTGTGACCAGCCCATATGTTCCAGGTTGCGGCCTACCACCATGTAATTCCCCCAGGAATCCTCCTGGTGTCTCTTTGACTTGTGTGTAGCTCATTAACACTTGGGCAAATGGCACTCGATCATTTCAACCCTTAAATGGCAGGTTGAGCTTTTCCTCTCCGGATCTTATGAAATGAAATCGTTATGATTCACTCAGAGCACGTGGGCTGGACCCAGAGCTGGGACAGCAAGGGGCCATGGATGACCTGCAGAGCCAAGCAACTTCATTTCTTCTTGTAGCTTCCTCTTCGCTGCCATTTGGCAAATTCCAAGCCACCAATGATATCACTTTCCTGCACTCCAAAGATGACACTCATCAAGATTAGGATGCCCAGTCAGCACTTCCTGCAGGCCCTTTGACCCTGAGGTCCAACCCAGCATGCACTGCCTGCTACCTCGCACTGTCAAGGCAGTGGAGAGGAAAGAGTTGCTAAATGGTTTCCTGCCTGCAAGAACCTCAGGGCCCTGGGGGATAGAGCAGAGTGGAGGTGTATGTCATGTAAAATGAGGGGTGCTTCACAAACCCAGGTTTGTTCCACAGAAACAGGTGTGCCCCATGTGAATGCTCCTGAGAGCCCAATGGTGCGTCCCAAGACCAAGGACTACGGTTACGCAACTTCCCCACAATGCCTATGGAGATGGGGAAGGGGCAGGCAGGAGGCTCTCCAGGAAGCACCTCCCAGGTGCCTGCCCAGCAAGGGAGTACCTTCTGCCCCTGGACCTAGGCCCAGGCCACACTGCCAGCACGCACAGCTGTGCTTGTGTCTTGTCTGCAGCCCTTACATGCAGACCTAAGACTGACAATCCAGTTAAGACATTGAATATGAAGTGGAGGACAACATACCTTTTTATTTGTAAATATTTAAACTATATGAAACTAACTATATGTTTACTCCAACCTATGCTTCCTCTTTCCCATCCTCAAATGCATTGGGGGGAGGTTGCTTAGCCAGTCCTGGGCCTTGGGAAGCACTGCGCAGCCCAAGGCTCTTCAGGAGCACTGATATGGGGCACTGCTGGTTGGGTCTGGTACCCAACACCAAACCCCAGGTTGGAGCCAGCACTGGAGAAATTCAGCTGACAGCTGGACTGTAGCTGGGAGAGAGGGCTGGAGAAAGCAGAAACAAGAGTGTTTTTTTGTGTCCCTGCCTCTGTAGACCACCGTGTATCGAAGCAGGAGGGATAGCAGACGGGCCATACCTGGACTGTCTGCTGCAGAATGACTAGTGCCTGCTCCTTGTCCTCCAGCAGCTGCTGGATGCTGGCTAGGCGCTCCCAGGCCTCATTCACTGGGTCTCTACTGAAAGAGAGACACCAGCCTTCAGTGTATCAGGTGGGGGATAGGGACTATGGGTGAAGGAGGAATTGAGAGATGGCCCACCATCCACAGGCAGAGCAGTCTGTCTTCTCCAGAGCTCTCTGGTTCTGAAGAGTCTTCACAGCGGAGGGATCTGGTGAACCTGGTAGGCCTGCTTGACAAATGGACACCATCAACACAGGGTCTCTGCTTCTGAGATGCACAAGTGGGCTGGGGGTGGGGGTGGCCTGCATAGGTGGAGCAAACTCAAATGTCACCATATACCTGTTTAATCCCAGCCAGATTCCAGGGCCCTTTAGCACAGCCCTGCATGCTCTGAATAGTGACTCCATTTGGAGACACAGGGGCCCAGTGGGACACTGCCATCTGGCTGCTGCTGCTGCAGCCAGGGGGACCATCTGCCTTCCTCAGGGGCTGGCTGGCCACGGGATCTTACGTGCACTTGAGCACACTCGCCGCCCTTTGCAAGTGCGTGAACCCACAGGCATCCCATGTGCAGTCATGTGGTGATGCGGTGATTCCCCTCACAGATGGCCCAAAAGGATTCTGACAGGCAAAACTGGTCTACACTGGGGGTTTGGATCCTACCCGTATGCATATGCGTATGCGTGTGGGTGGGCAGCTCCACCCACGCTTGGTCAGCATTCCCACTGGAGAGTCCTGGATCCTGTGAATTTGAAAGGTTGGCAAGCAAGGCTAAGGGGAGTAAACAAGCCTGCCTGTCAGTCCCAGTGACTACTGAGAGAAGGGAGGGTGGTCAGCAAGCAAACTGGAGAAGGGACAGGGCCTGGCTTAGTACTGTTGGGGCTTCGGACTAAGAAGGAGCAAATCCAAACAATTTTCACTGCCTGAGGCAGGCAGGTCAGGAGAAGGGACAGGGCCTGGCTTAGTACTGCTGGGGCTTCGGACTAAGAAGGAGCAAATCCAAACGGAGTTTTCATTGCCTGAGGCAGGCAGGTCAGGATGGGAAAGGGCAAGACCCTGGGGAGGCCTGGCCAGCAGTCCAGTCAGGGGTTCAGGGGTGGACATGCGTGCAGTGTAGAGTGCAGGGTTGTGGGGAGCAAAGGTTTTACTGTCACCAATTTCTTGTTTTCTCATAGGTAGATGATCTGACTCTATATAAACAGGCAGTGATACAGCAGGTTCTTAAGCTATACTGATTTCCACAGACACGTACTGCTATGCCGGGAGAGCCTGCAGGAGCAGTGCCAGCCTCCACCTTCTCCCTCAGTGCACAAAGGATGGGCTCGATGGCCCCAGGCACACTGGCCACCACCTTGTGGATATCTGCCTCTGAGACACAGAAGTGCAGCTTGTGGAAGACTTTCCTGTAAAGGAGGCAGGGACACACCCTCAGAGCCGTGCCCCCAAGGGTGAGGCCCTGGGCCACAGGAGGCCATTCATTTTAGTGTCCCCTCCGAGGATCACAGGAAGAGCAGTGCCCCATGCCATCAGGCGAGCAGTCCTGCTGGTCCATGTCCGAAGCACCTAGAGTCTGACCTTTTCTAAGTTCCTTCAAGGCCAACCCCGCCTGTGGTTGGCCCGCTAAACCTCCCTCCACCTCGCTCCACACCCCTCAGCCCACCCAAATTGGAGCTCCATCAGCTTTGCCCAGGCCTGTCCTGGCAGTGCTTCGGTGGAAGGCTGTCCCCAGCATGGCCTCCAGGATTCCTGGGCCTGCACCGAGGGCTCTGGGGCTCTCCCTAGCCCGCATCACCCTCCTGACTCCTCAGGGCCCTCTCTGCTTCCTTATTTCTCACAGGCCTGCGCTACTGGGCTGGTTGCTCTTCACATCACTTGGCAGACCTGACGCTGTGTTTTGTTATTTACTTTCTAAGCAGAGACTCTCCACGAGGGCAGGCACTGTCTACTGTGAGTCTCCTGTGTTGTCATAAAGCCTGGCTCCCTCTTCAATGCGTGGGAGGCTCGGAGTGGGCCTACACTGACAGGCTGTCACCGTGGGAGCCCCAACCTTGCCTGTTGAGAAGGCTCCAGTTACTGAGCTTCTGGTCCGTGTTGCAGGCAGGGATGTAGCTGTGCAGGTCCACGAGGCGTGGGTGAAAGTGCTTCACGATCTCTGCCACCAGCACTGTGGGAGGGGAGGGTGAGCCTGGCCTGCCCAGCTACGTCCCCCGGCTGCTGCCCGCTGTGGCCCTTGGCTCCCTGCAGGGCACGCGGAGGAGGTACAGTCTGGTCCCTGAGATACAAGGCTTGGGCGCACTTAGTCCTCGGGAGGAGCCAAGTCCTAGAAGCCGCGGCTGCAGGCGGCGTGCCACGCTATAGTTCTCTTTACTTCCCCTGGGAGTAAAGGGGCCAGACCTAAGAGGACCCCTTATTCCCGGAGCCCTGGCGGCCCAGTGCCCCACAGCCTCCCGTCCAGCCCGCCCTCCCTGTGGCGCTCGCACCGCCATCGCTGAAATCCCGGGCCAGATGCCGCTTAGGGCGGCTGAGCGGGAGCCTGTCCAGCCAGGCGCAGAGGCCGCGCAGCAGCTGCGGAGAGGGGGTAGCCGGGCTCAGCCTGGAGGCACCCCGCATGGCTAGAGCTTGCGGGCGTTGCGGGGCAACCTAACCGGAAGGGGCGGGGCGCGTGAGAAGCTGGGAGCCCGGGGCGGGGCAAGGAGGCGAAGCACGGGG